TGTCTTAGAAATTCAGGTTCAGGGCTATGAAGGGAAGAGATGCTGTTAGAACAGAGAGAAGTGGGTAACCTCACCAAAGACGGACGAGCTCCAACAGAGGGCTGGGGTGTTCCAGCGGCAGCTGAACCTCCCATTGAACCCACTGACCGGTTTCAGACCAGCACTGTAGTGGTCATGCCCAGTCACCTGCTGGAGAGAATGCCCTTGGGGGCAAGGAGAGAGAGGCCTGAGCCTATATTCAGCCCACTTCTTGGCCTCCCCACTACCCCGGGTGTGGTATGGGATGCCAACCAGGTGTAGTCACTGCATTCCCCATGCCCACATCTGAACATGCAATCCTCAAATGGCCTGAGCTTCTGGGCTGAAAAGCCAAGGGCTGGTGAGGCTGAGGGACAGAAGGCTTCCTAGAAATAAAACTCAGCACCAGGAATAATTGCAGGAAGACTGTGAATGGTTTGTGCTGGGACAGGAAAGACCAGAAATTCTGGGCTTGGCAGAGCTTGCTTTTCTCCCACGAGAAATGAGAAAAATCTCACCCTTGCCTCTGAGCCATGTGGAAAAAATGGATGAGATCAAGATCAACTGGGCCAAATGGTACAAAGATCATGTGACTAGAAGAGCAGCCCAGGATGGTGGAGTTGGGCTGGGAGGAGGATTTACCCTGTTAGAAAAATCTCTCTCACCTCTTCCCCATTGTTAACCTGAGCCTGGAAAAAGTGCAGGATGCAGCCGTGAGGGGAGCAGGGGCTTCAGAATTGGGAAGAACAGAATTTTTTTTTTTTTTTTTTGAGATGGAGCTTTGCTCTGTCGCCCAGGTTGGAATGTGCAGTGGTACGATCTCAGCTCACTGCAACCTCCGCCTCCCAGGTTCAAGTGATCCTCCTGCCTCAGTTTCCTGTGTAGTTGAGATTACAGGCGCCCGCCACCACACCTGGCTAATTTTTGTATTTTTAGTAGAGTCGGGGTTTCGCCATGTTGGTCAGGTTGGTCTCAAACTCCTGACCTCCGGTGATCTGCCCACTTCAGCCTTCCCAAGTGTTGGGATTACAGGCATGAGCCACCACGCCCCACTGGGAAGAGCAGAATCTTAATTCTGGCTCAGCCCTTCTTGCCAAATCACTTTAACTCCAGAAACTTGTTTCCCCAGCTGTGCCATGGGGTTAGTGTGAGGGTGAAAAGTGCCTAACAAATGGCTCATATCTGTAATGCCAGCACTTCAAGAGGCTGAGGCCAGATCACTTGAGCCTAGCAGTTCAAGACCAGCCTGGGCAACATAGGGAAACCCCATGTCTATAAAAAATAAACAATTAACTGAGTGTGGTGGTGCACACCTGTTGGCCCAACTGCTCAGGAGGCTGAGGTGGGAGGATTGCTCAAGCCCTGGAGGTCAAGACTGCAGTGAGTAGTGATTGTGCTACTGCAATTCATGCAATCCAGGCTGGGGAACAGAGTGAGACCGTGTCTCAAAAAAAAAAAAGGGGGGGGCCTGACATACAGTAGGTGCTTATTAACTAGTATTAGGGAGCACTGTGGCACCATCTGCTTGTGTGTGTGAAGGAAAGCTGGAAGGATGTGGTCCCTTGGCATCTTCCCCTCAGCCAGGCTTCATTATGGCCCAAGAACCACGATGAGGCTGGAAATGAGGCTGGAAATGGAGGCAGCACTTGCCTGTCCCTGCCCAATTTCTCCTGTCGAAATATTTGTCCTTGCCCAAACATGTGGATGTAATCTACTATCTAGCTATCCCTTCCTGTACCGCCATGATCCTGAAAGTGGGGAAGGGAATACAGAAGACTGTCAGCCACAATGCTGAGGGGGGCACAGTGCAATCTGCCCTGGGGTTTGCTGGGGTGGGGAAGGGAAGAGGTCAGACCCTTAGGCAACTGGGGCAGATAGGTTAAATATGTTTAAGAACTGGGCCAGGCATTGTGGCTCAGCCCTGTAATCACAGCACTTTTGGAGACTGAGGCGGGCGGATCAACTGAGGTCGGGAGTTCAAGACCAGCCTGACCAACATGGAGAAACCCCATCTCTACTAAAAATACAAAAAAGGCCAGGTGCAGTGGCTCACACCTGTAATACCAGCACTTTGGGAGGCCGAGGCGGGCGGATCACTAGGTCAAGAGATTGAGATCATCCTGGCCAAAATTGTGAAACCCCATCTCTACTAAAAATGCAAAAATTAGCTGGGTGTGGTGGTGCACACTTGTAGTCCCAGCTACTCAGGAGCCTGAGGCAGAAGAATCACTTGAACCAGGAGGTGGAGGTTGCAGTGAGCCGAGATTGTGCCATTACACTCCAGCCTGGATAACAAGAGGGAAACTCTGTCTCAAAACAAAACAACACAAAATAAAAAGCAAAACAAATAATAAAAAAAAAACCTATTGGCCCTCAGGGAGGGGCAGTTGAGCTGAGCAGCTTAAGGCTCTGTCTCTGCTTCCAGACAGGCTGGGTTCTAACTCCAGCTCAACCATTAATGGGCTTTGAGACCTTGGGCCAATTACACAGCTTTTCTGGGCCTCAGTTTCCCCATTAGTAAAAGGAGTGTTGCTGTGAGTTTTGTTTTTTGAGACAGGGTCTCACTCTATTTCCAGGCTGGAGTGCAGTGTTGCCATCTTGGCTCACTGCAACCTCCACCTCCTGGGTTCAAGCGATTCTCCTGCCTCAGCCTCATGAATAGCTGGGATTACAAGCATGTGCCACCATGCCCCACTTTTTAATATTTTTAGTAGAGACAGGGTTTCACATTTTGGCCAAGCTGCATTTCGAGCTGTGATCGTGCCACTGCACTTGCAGCCAGGGTGACAGAGTGGGACTCATTCTCAAAAAAGAAAATTAAAACGCTTTTCAAAATGTGTACACCATATTATTTTCAAGCTTTTCAACACTCAGGTTCTTCCTTTTTCCCTCCCCAGACTCTGGTTCCATCTTTCGTAAAATTACATGAGTCGATGCTGGGTGTGGTGGCTCATGCCTGTAGTCCCAGCTACTCAAGAGGCTGAAGTGGGAGGATCGCTTGAACATGGAAGGTGGAGGTTGCAGTAAGCCAAAATCATGCCACTGCACTTCACTCAGGGCAACAGAACAAGACTCTGTCTCAAAAAAAAAAAAAAAAAAAAAAAAAAAAAAAAAAAAAAAAAAAAAAAAAAAAAAAAAAAAAAAAAAAAAAAAATTGGTTCTCTATAGAACACATTGTATTAGTCAGGGTACTGGCAGGAAACGGATGGAACATTCAAGTGGGTAACTGAGTCTGCCTAGTGAGGCATCCTGGGGCTGGCAACAGTGGTGTGAGGACCAGCTGTATGTCTGAAGGGACAAATGGAGAGCAGTTGTTGGAACCCAGCTCTGAGTGCTTTCCAATAGAAGCGGTGGTCTTTGGTTACAGCTCCCCACAGACCAGCTACAAGGGAGCCGGCGAACCAGTGATCCCTTCCCTCTCCTCTTGCCCTGTGTGTTCCTGCTGCTACTTCCCACTGGCTGAATCTACCTGGCCGCTGGGAGCTAGGGAACCCTGACCGAGTCCAGAGCAAGGTAGAGATGGAGAGATAATGAGGGCAGAGTGGGTCCGGATGGGCCCAGGGAAGCTCTCCAGCAACTATGAAAGCTGGTCCCAGCAGCCCAGGCTTCATGATCTGCTAAGTCATTAACAGAAGCACATGTCACGCCATGATTCTTTTCTTGGTTTATTGTTTGGTAGAAAAACAGGCGTTTTAACACTGAATAAACATCTCGCAAACCGTTGCTCCTAGATTACAGTCAAAGCCAATTTTCTTTGACGCTGAGCTTTTGAATCTGACGTTCAAGTCACCGTAATAGAAACCAGAGCTGCTATACCTTACATTCTGCAAGGTACCTCAACAAAGGCATGCTAAGACTGTTTAAAACTTCTAGCATGTAAGAAGATCCGACTTTCCTGCCCACACCTTTGGATAATAACAGGAGAATCCTAGTCATCTGCTGTTGAGTTGAGAAGGCCAAGTTCAAGGATTCCAAACTCCAGCCTTCAATATTTCTGCAGAGACTCAGAGAAGTAACCTCCCCCTCCTCTCCTGCTGGCTTCCCCAAGTACAGATGCAGGTCTTCCTGGGACCAGGCACCGGCAAGTCAAAGCATCTCACCGGTCTCATCACTGGGCTTCTCCAAAGGGCTTTTGGTGGAAGAAGCTTTAATTTCAGTTTTGGTCAATCTTCCATCCTTAGAAACGTCTTTCTTGTTAAGAAAAGGCAAGGAGGGTTAACTAAGTTCTAAGAATTCAACAAGGAAAGGAAATAGGTTCCTTTTATGAAAAGGACTTCCAGGCTCTCTGAGCCAGTAATTGAACTGAAATCACTTTCCTGAGTGTCTCCACACGGAATATTCAGCACTTTTCTCCTAGCAGCCAGAGGATGGGATCTGTGTACGCTGAGTGCCACTTAAAATGCCCTCATTAGATGCAGTAAAAAGCTACTCTTGACTCCCGTAGGTCAAACCCACATGCCTCTGGGCTGTACCCTGCGGAATTAGCTGTAGGAATAACAGTAAAGGTCCTGCCCGACGGCCATGAGCAGCCCTGGCGCGCCCCGGGAGCCCCCCAGCTGTGATGAGAAGGCCACACTGGGAATGTCAGCCTTGGAGGCAGGGTATGGGGAGGGTATGGTTCTGAGTAGGTGGGCATCATGGAGGCTCCAGATTCTCGTGTAGCAGTCCTGGCCCACTAGGAAAGAGGGAAGACACATGGCAGGCTAGTGAGAGAATGCAAAGGAAACTTACCTACATGTGGACGTGGCTTCTTAAGATTCCTCAGGGCTGTGATTTCAGGTAAGCCATAGGACAAACTCATTAATGGACAGTATTTCTACAGATAATGCAAGTTGCCCTGCTGGGCTAGAACAATGACAAGATGTCCTGGTTGGCTGTGTGATGCCATGTGTAGCTCAGAGGTATCCTGGCTAATGGCTGGGGATTCTGCCGCTCTTTTTTTTTCTGAGACAGAGTCTCGCTCTGTGGTCCATGCTGGAGTGCAGTGGTGCGATCTCAGCTCACTGCAACCTCTGCCTCCCGGGTTCAAGTGATTCTCCTGCCTCAGCCTTCCGAGTACCTGGGATTACAGGCGTGAGCCACCACGCCCAGCTAACTTTTGTATTTTTAGTAGAGATGGGGTCTCACCATGTTGGTCAGGCTGGTCTCGAGCTCCCGACCTCGTGATCCACCTGCCTCGGCCTCCCAAAGTGCTTGGATTACAGGCGTGAGCCACCATGCCCGGCTAATTCTGCTGCTCTTGAAGTCAAGGAATGTTCAAGTGTGGGCGCAGCCCACCTGGTCCAGGTGACATGCAACTGATTTCCCCCATTTTTTAGAGACAAGGTCTTGCTCTGTTGCCCAGGCTGGAATGTAGTGGTGCGATCAGGGCTTACTGCAGCTGTGAACTCCTGGGCCCAAGCCATCCTTCTGCCTCAGCCTTCTGAGTTCACTGTGACTATGGGTGTATGCCACCATGCCTGGCAAATTTTTTTTTTTGAGATGGGGTCTTGCTATGTTGCCCCAGCTGGTCTTAAACACCTGGCCTCAAGCCCCCTAAGTGCTGGAATTACAGTTACCATGCCTGGCCTGATTTCCTTTCTGTGATATAGTAACTAGCCCTGTCAAGTTCGTTACATCCTGGAGATGGACTAGGTTAACAACTCTTCCCAGAGCTCTTTCTGGTTTAATGGTTCGGTTCCTAAGACCGGTTTAAGTCTTCAGGGCTCCAGTTCTGAGAACTGTGACACATAACACCACGGGTTATGGCAGCCCAGAAACATGATACACACTACTGGAGACCTTCGGCAGGAGAAGAGGACAGGCCTTGGGCAATCATGGATTTCACATTTGTGATCTTGACCACTTGTGTGACTCTAAGACCGGAAGTGCTACCTTTGCTGAAGCTGAATCCCAGCTGTAGTTTATTACTGCAGCGGGCAACTACCTGCATCTGCTTCTCAGCAAGGCTGAGCTCTCTTTATCATCCAACTCACAGAAGCTCTTTTGTGGTCAAAATGGGTGAAAAATCTACTTAAAAAGGAAGTGAAGTGCTGGTGCGATGAGAATAGTAAATAACATCTAAGAAAGTTCTCATAACGTGATGCTTCCTAGCCACAGAAATGTTCCATGGGGATAAGCCCTTTCTAAATGAATACCAGTAAAGGTGATGATTCACAAAGACTGAGAACATAGTCTGCAGTCAGGGGCCCTGTTTCAATGTGAAATCCTGAGCTTGCACACTGTCTGATTATGCTATAGCCAGTATCATATGTAAGCAACTGGTAACTCCTTTCCAGGAGCTTAGCGGCTGGCTAGCTGCTCCTAATCTACAGATCATGGAGCCACAGAGAGCGTGGTAAAGGGGCCAAGAATTCTTTCTCGCTCTGTCGCCAGGCTGGACTGCAGTGGCACAATCTCGGCTCACTGCAACCTCTGATTCCCTGGTTCAAGCGATTCTCCTGCCTCAGCCTCCCAAGTAGCTGGGATTACAGGCACGTGCCATCACGCCCAGCTAACTTTTGTATTTTTAGTACAAATAAGGTTTCACCATGTTGGCCAGGATGGTCTCAATCTCCTGACCTTGTGATCCGTCCACCTCAGCCTCCCAATGTGCTAGGATTACAGGTGTGAGCCACCATGCCTGGCCAGGGCCAAGAATCTTTATAACGACCATAACTTCTCAGTATCCTCTGGTGGAAATGTGAGTAGAGAGCAGAGAGCCAAGTTTCTGGATAAGATAATAGATGGTGGGATACTGCTGGTCTGATGAAATCGACTTGAACTCCAAACCCAGGCTCCCCAGCACCTCTCCTGCCTGTTTCTGAAGTGATGTTTGCCCACTGACATGGGATGAGGCTGTCCACCTGGTGGACATTTATTTATACTGCTGATTACTAATATATCCAATTCTACTTCCCTCTTAGTCTCCACACCAAACTGTCCACACTCCCTTTGATTCAGTTCTGTTTTGGGGTAACTTTTCCCTCTGGTGCCTAAGTTGCTGGGATCGTCCCTAAGAGACACTATTTGATGGGATGGAACTTCCCCTTCCTTCCTCAAGTACCTGCCATCAGGATTCCTTCTTCCTCATGCACATGCAGGGGCAGGTAGGCGTACTCGTTCACGTGGCCTTCATACTGCCTTATGCACTTAGTGGTCCTCAGGTCCCACAGCTTGATCTGTGGAAAGAAGCACAAGGGGCCATCAGGGAGGGGCCAGGAGGACCCATCAGTGGACCCCAAGTGTGAAGCCAGGAAGGCAAGGTGATCTCCAGTGGCTTGTGCAGGTCATGAAGATCTCCATCTCGAATTCCTGAGCCTTGAAGTCCATCAAAAGCACGTAACCAGGCTGGGTGCAGTGGCTCAAACCTGTAATCCCAACACTGGGAGGCTGAGGTGGGCAGATCACCTGAGGTAGGGAGTTTGAGACCAGCCTGGAGAAACCCTGCCTCTACAAAAATAAAATTGCTGGGTGCAGTGGCTCACACCTGTAATCCCAGCACTTTGGGAGGTCAAGGCGGGCAGATCACAAGGTCAAGAGATTGAGATCATCCTGGCCAACATGGTGAAACCCCATCTCTACTAAAAATACAAAAATTAGCTGGGCGTGGTGGTGTGCGCCTGTAGTCCCAGCTACTTGGGAGGCTGAGGCAGGAGAATTGCTTGAACCCGGGAGGGAGAGGTTGCAGTGAGCCGAGATTGCACCACTGCACTCCAGCCTGGTGCCTGGCGACAGAGCAAGACTCTGTCTCAAAAAATAAAAAAAATAAAAATATAAAATTAGCCAGGTGTGGTGGCATACGCCTGTAATCTCAGCTACTAGGGAGGCGAATCGCTTGAACTCAGGAGGTGGAGGTTGCAGTGAGCTGAGATTATGTCACTGCACTCCAGCCTGGGCAAGAGTAAAACTCTGTCTCAAAAAAAAATAAAAAAATAAATAAATAAAAGGCATGTAACCAGAGACTCCTTTTCACTTTTGTCTAGTCCAGATTAGGCTCACATGGGAAGCAAAGCAGTCCCCATGCAGGGCTTACAAATCCCTGGGTCTTCAGCTACTTTTCTCTGCCTGGGGTCTTAATATGAGGACCTCTTCAGCAGAACCCCTTCACCTGGCAGAGCTCCAAGTTCCCCTACCTTTCCAGCCATGTCTGACGCCATCAGGCACTGCTCGTCTTGGAGAATCCGCACAGAGGTCACTGCTGAGTCATGAAACAGGCGGGTGGCCTTCCACCCCTTGCCTTGATTTCCACAACGCAGATCAATGGCAAAGATCTCCCCAGAGCGGCAGCCATTAAACAGCAGAGGAGCCTGTGGAAAGAGGGACTGCTCAGTGTGTGGCCACCATGACCTCCCTCTGAGACTGGGCAGGGCAGGTCCTCCCGATACAACTCCTATTCCAGCTCCTGGGTCAGATGGTGTGATTAGACACATGCTGGTCAGGGTTTGGGTCTCAATGGAATTGGAAGGGAAGATGATTCCTTGTTAGTGGGTAGAAGAACCAGATCCCATGTGTCCTCCTCATGGGTAGCATGGAGATCCTAGGAGCTATGCCCTGCACTGTCTGTCCCCTTTGGCCTTTCTCTCTGAAGTCTCAGTCAGAGATGGCATCCCCGTCTCCAACAAAAGTAGGTTAGCAGATTCCTTCACTTTTAAGGAAAGATGGCATTTTCTAGAGGAAAGTCTTTAAATTATAGTAATAACCAGAATTTTGATTTTTTTTTTGAGACCGAGTCTTGCTCTGTCACCCAGGCTGGAGTGCAGTGGAGTGATCTCGACTCACTGCAACCTCCACCTCCCGGGTTCAAGCAATTCTCCTGTCTCAGCCTCCTGAGTAGCTGGGATTACAGGTGCCTGCCACCGTGCCCAGCTAATTTTTGTATTTTTAGTAGAGAGGGGGTTTCACCATGTTTGCCAGGCTGGTGTCAAACCCCTGACCTCGTGATCCACCCACCTCGGCCTCCCAATGTGCTGGGATTATAGGAGTGAGCCACTGTGCCTGGCCTGACTTTTAAAATTTATAAAATATATAACTTGAGAGCTGTGTATGAATTGGTATTTAGGGTATACATTTTAAAAACGGTTTATCCTGGTGGGTAAATCCAAGTACCCAAAAACTGTTCACAATTCTTTTCCACGAGAGGTTGTTTAGAGTGCCTCAGGCCAGACTTTTTGGATGAGCCAACTTTTACTCGGCTCAGACACATTTACAGAGGAACCCACTGATCCTTTCTGATGCTCTTTTTCCCTGTCAAGGAGGACTAGATGGCACACAGAGGAGTCCAATTTCAATCCGCCACATTTCCACCTGGGGCAAACTTTATATTCTGCCTGTCCCAATCCAACCAACCATGAGAGCAAACTGTTGAGCCAAGACATCACTGCTGGTCCCAAAGGACTGCCGGTGTCCCGTCACCACGTTGGTCAACAGGACCCGCCGAGACAAGCCTGGTGGAGACAGAGATGGGCTGGTGAGATTGTGTCACACATGTAGTCTAGGGAGAGCGACAGCTAGATGGGTTTGGACGTCTGTTAAATTCTCTTCTCTGGGCAGCTGGGGAGCCAGGCTCACCTGTACTGAAGCAGTTATTTGCTTGGATATTCAGGGACCAGGCACAGGACCAGGCACCAGGGATCCGGAAGCTGCAGAGCATGCCAGGCCGGTCTATTCCTGCTAAGAGATTGGAGAATGTAAGGTGGGGCTACCCTTTAGGCGGGCCAGGGACCACCGGGTTTGCAAAACATCCAAATATGCGATCGCTGCTCAGAAGGTCTATCCCTTTGACCCCATTCTGGGTTTTGTGGTTGCAAGAGAGGGAGACTCAGCTGGGATGCCCGGCTTGCAAGCGGTCATTCTGAAAATGAATGTGTGTAACATTCTCAGTAGTTGTGTTCGCAGTACTAATACTACTGATAATCCGGGAGGTAGTATGCTGTCGCAGGTTAGGGGGTTCCAATCCTCCATCACCTATCAGCTACGTGATCTCAAGCAAAGTGTGTGTGCGTGCAGGTGTGTGTGCATGTGTATATGTATATATACACACACACATTTTTTTTTTGAGACAGAGTCTTGTTCTTTTGCCCAGTCTGGAGTGCAGTGGCATGATCATGGCTCAATGCATCATCATCCTCCCAGGATCAAGCAATCCTCCCATCTCAGCCTCCCAAAGTAGCTGGGACCACAGGTGTGAGCCACCACACGACTACTTATTTGTTTTTTGTAGAGACTGGAGTCTTGCTATGTTGCTCAGACTGGTCTTGAACTCCTGGGCTCAAGCAATTTTCTTTTTTTTCTTTTCTTGAGACGGAGTTTCACCCATGTTACCCAGGCTGGAGTGCAATGGCGCGATCTCGGCTCACCGCAACCTCCGCCTCCTGGGTTTAGGCAATTCTCCTGCCTCAACCTCCTGAGTAGCTGGGATTACAGGCAGGTGCCACCATGCCCAGCTAATGTTTTGTATTTTTAGTAGAGATGGGGTTTCACCATGTTGGCCAGGATGGTCTCGATCTCTTGACCTCGTGATCCACCCGCCTCGGCCTCCCAAAGTGCTGGGATTACAGGCTTGAGCCACCGTGCCCGGCTCAAGCAATTTTCTTGGTCTCCCAAAGTGTTGGGATTATAGGCATGAGCCACCATGCTTCTCCAAAATATTTAAAATAAACTTTTACATTGATAGAATGTACAGATTGTAAGGACAGAGTTCATTGAGTCATTACAAACTATAGCCATGTAACCACCACCCAGGTTAAGAAATAAAACAATCCAGTATCCCAGAGGCCTGCCTCATGTCCTTTCTCAATTACTACCTCCCCAAAGGGTACTGCGAGCCTGACTTCTGACACTAAAAGTTAGTTTTGTAAGGCAAATTCTGAAGCTCTCTGTCTCAGTTTGCTTGTCTGTAAAATGGTGGTAAGACACACTCCTGCCTCATAAGCTTGCTGTGCAGTGAAACACCAGGCACTGGGCTGAGTGTGTGTGACCTCATTTAACTCTCCAAGGATGCAGGCTGGGAAGGCCTTGTCCACTTCAGAGAGGTTCAACATTCCATTCAAGTTGGCAAGGGGCGGAGCTGGGATTTGTGCCAGGTCTGCCTGAAGCCCACAATCTTAAGAGGCCCCTCAGCCTTGTGTTATTCATCCTAATTTTCTGATAGACTGAAAATGTAATATCCAGAATGATGTCAGGAAAGAGGCATCCAATTGCCTTAATCCAGGCCCGAATGTGAAGTAACCCTGATAGCACCTGTCATGCAGGAGCTCCAGAGGTGTTTTCTGAAAGATGTGCACAGGCATCCAAATCAGTGTTCTGATCTGACCTTGGTTTACATATGCGTTAAGGCTACCCTGGCTGCTGAGATGACTGAAATGGCCCAAAATGGGTAAAACGGGGCAGATGGTGTAAAACAGCACTTGCTTCTGGTACTCACCCTGGGACAGGCTTAAGGCATCCTCCCACAGTGCCTCTGCAGTGCCCCCCCCAAAACCATCCCCACACAGCTCTCGGGAGGCAGAGGACAGGTTTCTTCAAAGGAAGAGAACCCTGTACCTGGGTGACTATTGACAAACAGTGATGCTGGGAGCAGGGTGGCACAGCCTGGAGTCTCCGCGAGTCCCATGAGGCACAACCTGGAAAAAGCTGTTAAGGACAGTCAAGCACAAGGCTCCCTCTGGGAGGAAGCATGGACATTTACCCTTCAGAAGGTTATACAGCACAAAGCAGGACAGAGAGTAACCCCCAACGTCCAGATGGAATATGCGTTCACACTGTCCACATTTAGCTTCAGAATTTTTTTAAAGGGCAAAAAAAATCAGATACAGTTAAAAGCTGGGTGTGGTGGCTCCTGCCTATGTAATCCCAGCACTTTGGGAAGCCGAGGCGGGAGGATCACTTGAGCCCAGGAGTTCGACACCAGCCTGGGAAACATGGCAAAACCCTGTCTCTACAAAAAATACAAAAACTAACTGGGCGTTGTGGTGTGTGCCTGCAGTGCCAGCTACTTGGGAGGCTAAGGTGGGAGGATTGCTTGAGCCTTGGAAGTTGAGGCTGTGGGGAGCTATGATCACGTGACTGCATTCCAGCCTGAGTGACAGAGTAAGACCATGTCTCAAAAATAAAATACAGGCCGGGCGCGGTGGCTCAAGCCTGTAATCCCAGCACTTCGGGAGGCTGAGGCGGGTGGATCACGAGGTCAAGAGATCGAGACCATCCTGGTCAACATGGTGAAACCCCG